ATTGACTCTTTTTTTAATCAGTTACCGCTAGACTCTTGAGGGGATAACATCGTTCTATAGTGACAGACTAGACTGTGCCCCAGTCTGTATTAAAAGTTTGTTTGAAGTTTACCTTAAGTCAACTTGGTTATTGAGTCTGTGTTCCTGTTACTACCTGATCTATATTTGTGACGTGTGCATGTTTCCAAGAACTCGCTAGTGAAATACATCAAACAAGGTACGCACGCATCTAAGATAAATAATCATCTTTAGAAATACTCCAGCTACATCTGAGTACACATGCATCCGTTACAGTTTCACTGGCAATCATTTCACCTTACTAAAACGTTTCGTTCCATTTTTAAAATTTAAAAAAAAAAAATATGAAATAAAAAATAAAATATCAGGATCGCTATTGCATTTTTAAAAATATCAATAAAGTATAGGTATTTGTCTCGGATTTGTGAATTAATCTTTTTAAAACAACTATTTTAATTACCAGATGTTTAAAAAATATATACAGCTACAATGATATCATTTGGATCGGTGGCTAAATGGTTAGAAAAGCTTGGCTTCCGAAGCAAGGTCCTAGGTTCAAATCTTTGGTGCACACTGGGATTATAAATTTGGGAATTTTTAGGACGCCTTTTAGTCCATTTCCTTCTAATGAATACACGACTTTATTCGGGGATAGTAAAGGTGGTCGGTCGTTGTATTGACCATGCCACCTAATCTCACACTTCAGGATCGGCATTCGCCCCCATGTTACTTTATTTTACTTAATTTGATCCGTTTTTTTAATAGGATGATGTAGATATCAGGTAAATGCGTTTCTGCAGTAATGAAAACGCTTGGCGTCGGGGCTTACGACGCTCCCCCAGATCTCCTAACTGTCAAGAGAAAGGCCACCAACATGACTGTTTAATTTTTTTTTTCCGAAGGTTGAGAAACATTGCCTTTTTAAAATGCTGCATGTGCGTTTATACATAGGGCTAGGGTTAACTGGGCGTTGTGGTTAGGGTTTACTGGGCGTTATGGATAGGGTTTACTGGGCGTTATGGTTAGGGTTTACTGGGCGTTATGGTTAGGGTTTACTGGGCGTTATGGTTAGGGTTTACTGTGCGTTATGGTTAGGGGTTACTGGGCGTTATGGTTAGGGTTTACTGGGCGTTATGGTTAGGGTTTACTGAGCGTTGTGTATATGGTTTACTGTGCGTTGTGGTTATGGTTTACTGGCCTTTATGGTTGGGGTTTACTCGGCGTTATGGTTAGGGCTTACTGGGCGTTGTGGTTAGGGTTTACTGCGCGTTGTGGTTATGGTTTACTGGCCTTTATGGTTAGGGTTTACTCGGCGTTATCGTTAGGGCTTACTGGGCGTTGTGGTTAGGGTTTACTGGGCGTTATGGTTAGGGTTTACTGGGCGTTATGGTTTGGGTTTTCTGGGCGTTATGGTTAGGGTTTGGAAAACAAAATCGTCCCCCCCCCCCCCCACCAACTTTAAAGTTCTGGATCCGCTAGTGATACAACCCTACTCGTTAACCATTGGCTAAAGAAACTGATGATCGTAAGGTCTGAAAGGGGAACTTTATATTACAACGTATTATATTTATGATTTGAACTAAATTGTAATTATTAAGGCAATATCTTATCTTCTAAAAGTTTAAGGGGGAGGGCCGATTTTTTTTATTATGTAAACCGTATTAACATATTAAAAAGTGAGTCGAATACGAACAGCATAGACACCATTACTCGGTACCAAAAGGCCTACTATTATTGATCTTAAATTTGACCTTGGTCTAGTAATTTAAGATTAAACGTGTAATGTAATATGGATTCTAGTCTAGATATAGATTCTATATCAAGATTTTAGAACTAGTCTAGATTATATATCTAGATCTATTTTAAGATCTAGTTATAGTTCTAGATCTAGTCATTCTAGTTCTGACCTAATTCTAGTTTTAGATCTAGTTCTAGATCTAAAATCTATACTCTAGTCAACCTTATCTCTAGACTCTTTAGTCAAAAGTACCACACTTGTAGAGTGGTTAGCACACTGGCCCTAGAAAGCGTGAGCCACGGGTTTGAATACATGTCGTGACCTTGTTTTTTTGTTGTTGTTGTTTTTTTGTAAAATCAACTACGGTAAACTCCACCCAGCTATCCCTTTCTTTCTTCCCCCTTTCCCAGTTGTTCCAGACAAGTGGTAGAATCATTGTGCATTGATAAAGCTAAAAGCATACAATAGCGCTAAACTAAAACAATCGATAAAATAGTTCTGCTCGCACAGATTTATTATTGTTAATCTAGGTCTATTACAAATTTAATTACATGGAGACTTGGGATGGCAGCGAGCAGGGTATGAACCCGAAACCATCGAGATAATCACTCAAGCGTGCTAACCGCACGACCAGCCATTGTTGTTAACTTAATAACAGCTAATAGCCTATTATTGATAAAGAAACATATTACACATTAGGTACTTTTAAAATTGCCTTGTCGAAACATCGATAATAATTATAACTATCTATAATAGATTGTTCCGAGAGTTTATATATATATATATTGAGAGAAAAAGAGAATTCCAGATAAATCTTATACCGTTGATTACATGTTTGGGATGGTCTCGTAAGAAAGTTAGATGTACCTTAGCCTTGTGGAGAGAATTTCACTTATGCCTTTCTACCTTCATTGTCCAATGCTAAGATATTTACAAAATCAGATTTAACAATAGGGTAGTGGTAAATTATTTTAACTGTTAGAGCTAAATCTTACACAGCATTTATTACCATTACTTCATATGGAACATAATAATGCAACTTTATTACCTTTGCACTTATAAATGCTCTAGCTACATTTTACAGTCATCTGTTGAAATTAAGCAAAGACTAAATGTGGCTCAACAAAAATGGCTGAGACGGATTTTGGGAGTCAGTTACACAGATCGGGTCTCAAACAAGGAAATCCTATGCCGAACTGGGAGTCGAACACTTTGTGAGTGTCTTAGGACACTTCACCCTATGCGGTTGCAGTTGGCCTCACACTTTCATTGGCCCAGCGAAAAGTCTGGGTGTAAACTATTAAAAAAAAAAAGACATTTTAACTAATTGTTAAAGGGTTTCTGAAATTCTCCTGAAATAGTAAAATATACAAAAAGGAATGAAAATCTCATAAAATTTTTAAAATCTCCCAAAAACTGATGCTAATCTTCCTAAAAACAGACAAAATTGTCATTTTTGGGTGTCATTCAATATGGAAAGCGCCTATCTTACTAGCAATTAAAAAAACGGCAATGTCAGCTTTTATTTAATAAAAATGTAATAATAAGGCGAATTTTAACCAAAACAAGAAGTTCAAATACTTAATTTCCTTTAATAGTCACTGGCATATAAATATAGATCTAAATCTATCTCGACCTCTTACAAAAACACAAAAGCGATATTTTGCAAGTCGATAGTAAATCTAAAAAGCAGATCTGAATGTTTATCAGCTTTTAATTGAAAAACTACAATCTACTGTAGATGGCTCGTAAAGCTAATTTAGCAGTGATTTTGTACTTAGTAAAGTATGAATAAAATGCAAAGACTAATTTGTTTTGTGATACAAAATCTTAATTTTCACATATTATTATTATCACAACCAAGAATAGGCCGTTTCGCATAGGGCTCCGTAATCTGTAAGACCGGCCCTGCGCATGAGGTTTGCGGGACATGTTCTACGACAAAATGAATTACGCATTCCAAGAGTTGCGATAATTGGAAGCCTATACGAGGAAAGCGCAAACAGAGACGTCCTAGTATTACTTGGCACCACACCTTCATGGAGGACCTCAGAACAGTGGACACCAGGTGGGAGGAGGCTTCAGACATTGCCAATGACAGATCTTTATGGAGACAGCTTCCCGCCCAATGCGCCGAACGGCGCGAAAGGAACTAAGTCTAAGTAAGATTACTATTATAGGACATAAGAAAAATGTTATTTGTTATTTAGATGACATATGATTTTTTAAGAAAGTTGGGAAGAAAATACATTAGAGAGATATTTAAGTTAATTAAAGAAAATGATTTAACTATCCATGCAGAAAAAGTTAAAATAGGTTTTAAAGATATAATATTTTTTGAGACATATAGTTAAGATTTTAACTGTCCTATAGAAGACAATTTTGAAAAGATATTAAAAATTGATGTGCCAACAACACAGAAACAAATTGAAACAATATTAGGAATGTGTTCTTGAGTTTGAAGTCTGAAACCAATTTAACCAAAATTAGGAATGTCTTATAAGTCAGAAAGCCACACACAATCTAAAATTACAAAGACTATTGACATATTTATTATACTTATTTCTCAACGTACACCTTCACTGTACACAACAAACAAGCTCCAATGTTGCCTAACGATCATGGAAGTAGCCTCCTTAAGTAACCAGTCAATCTAGAATTTAGATCTAGAAATAGGTCTAAATCTAGCAGCTTGTTGCCCAGATACTTAACTACTATTAAAGACGAGCACATCCATTTCAATACATAAAACTTGTCAATTACTTCATACAGACTTTTATAATTGCTTCTCACCTGACTTCTACTGCGACCTAATCACTGCTCTTTACATCGCTACTTTTCTAAAATCTTCTAACTCTCAGGTCGACCGACTACAAGCTTACTTAGTTACTAGACTTGGATTTCCTTCTACGTTTGTTTGTTTTTTACACGGCTACTACAGCTACACTGTTACTACAGCTACACGGCTGCTACAGCTTGACTTTCTTCTTGCCGATTCTTGTATCCGTGGTTCAAAAGAAGCGGGTCACAATGTCATCCTTTCACGCTCTATATAGTCCAAAATCACCGAAATATTAGAAACTGCCACATGATTACTATTTTACCAGTGACTCGAATAGAACAGAACAAAACATAATATTGATTTTATATTTAGATCTAGGCTATATAGACTTAACAAAAAATAATTAAATCAACACAAAAAAACAAGTTCTGCATATATTTGTGTTATTGCAACTTTATTCATATAATTGTTAGAAAAAAAAAGGTTTATATAGTTAATTATATAATTTATGCCTACAAACAAGCGTGCATCACCGGTTTAAGCAAGTGTAACAAAAAGAAAATCTCAGAATACTAAGTTGGCAACACCTCTGTGACATCATTGGCAACAAAATGGCAGCGTGCAGCGTGCTGATCAACCTTAACGTCGCTAATGCTTTTGGTTGATGTCATATAAATATAAAAGTTCTCTTTTTTTTACAAGCAAATCTTTTAAAAACACTATTTACATTTACTAATTGTATTTATAAAAAAAAATAATAATTTTCGGTGAATCATTAATTTTTGACGCTCATCTTCATGATTACCAATATTTAAATTATTAACCTATATTATTCATACATTAATTTGTCTTTTAGTTGTTTAGTTATCTATTGTTGCTTAGAATTTATTAGGACAGACCTGATACTCTACACATGCTTCTATCTCCTCAGCTGCTACCATCTCTATATCAAATTAAATTAACAAGATGTGACTAATTGATTTTGTTTCCATCTTTAAATATATTCAAGTTTTGTTTGTGGTATAACTGCTTCCCTAATGGCAGTGGAAGGATACAACGATTTTATATAGACCAGTAATATACGATTTGTAATAATAATAATAGTATTAATAATAATTGTCACTTAAACAATAAACTGATGTGGCTATTGAATTTAATTATAATTTACATGATACTATTATATAATTGATATCTCTATGATACATTTATTGTATTAAATTATATAATAATAATATTTATAACAACTGCAGTGTCTGGCATATTATATGCATTAATTATATAGGTAATTATCTCTAATTATATAATGTATAATACTACTTATTATAATACTGTAAATAATTTTCTGCCAGGAGGTTAACATTAATAGAACATTCCTAAAAGATTTAATCTAGATATCTTTTTATAATTATAAACTTAAGATAGTGGACACATAGACTGCAATGTATTAACATTCATTATGATAGATTTACATTTATATCTCTACCTTACTAAGTAGAGAGACATGCATTTCTATCTTTACAGAGAATAAAGACAATTTTTTTGTTCTCTTTTAAATAGTTAAGAAATAGAATTTGCAACATTCGTCATTCCAAACACGAGCAATATGTTGTTGTTGTTGTTGTTGTTGTTGTTGTTGTTGTTGTTTTTCTAACTACTTCTTTGTATATCTGTTTTCGCTCTTAATTAAATTTTTTTTCTCTTTCTCTTATTTTCATCTCGCTAAAAGTAACACTATTATACCATACAGTTAAAACATACCAGATCATTCCCTTGTCTGATGTACGTCCCCATTGACCATTTAGATTAGAAGTATGACATTTTCTATACCACCAGGCACCTGATTTATCTTCTGCACAATTTACGTCACTCCATATATCGTTATCTCTATCAAAAGTACTAAAGAACGTGTTGTTATGATATAATAAACTATTTCCAGCATTTCCTGAATAGTCCCCTATCTGTAGTTTATATTTCTCAGTCTCATTCAATACTTTAAAGTTTTCGTACTGCGCAAAATATTTTGTGTTGTTAAATTCTAAATCAATTCTCAAATCAAATTGTCCAGTAGAAGTTAACTTAAAAATATTTTCATTTCCCAGATAAAATTCCCCAATGTTGTAATCTCCAAAGCCGTCACGATACTCCTGCCAGCCTCTATAGAAATCTACTTTTCCGTTGATTCTTCTCTGAAAGATGATCCATCCACCGCCATCTGTATTGGTGTCACACATGACCACTAACCCGGACTTTAACGTTACAATTACTCGTTCTTGGAAGCTGTTGATTTCGCGGCAAGATATTGTTGGTTCTGTTTAACAACAATTAAATACAATATAATCAATATTACATAAGACAAAGTAACAAAAATGTAAAAAAAAATTATAGTGACCACGAAATGAGAACTGTTATTATATTTGTATGATCTGTAGGACCTGCAATTAGCCCTTAAATTATATTAAGACTGCACAAAACTACATGATTAGATTTACAAACATTTTAGATCTTTAAAAGTTTATGTACGTTATATACTTTAAACCTGTTGAAAGGGAATCGATTTTTAAATATACACAAATCAATTTAAAAAATCAATATTTCATCTCTTTACTAAAATAGTGTAATGTGTTTCATAAACCTCTCCATCGTAAATATGTTTAGTTTGACTAAAATAAACAAAAAATTCCAAAAAAACCCCACCTCCTTACACAAACAGCGATATGACTTTAAGAAATCAATAAAAGAAGACGATAACTGAAAATAAATGTTGATTCTCTATTGGCTAGTCCAGTTCAATGATACCGTTAAATTGTTTAAACTGTATGACATGGTTTGATTTCTAGGAATACATGACGCTAAGCCTCTTCATTCATAGACGCTGTCAGCATTTGATATAACAACGGTTTTTCAATATCTTGTGCTTGCTGAAACACAAATTTATATTTTCATAACATTTCTTGCCAATTTATTCCAGCAATATTTGTTTATTTCACTTGTGTATTCTGGTCTTCCTTTTTGTGTCTTTTTTATTCTCATAAATATTGACTTTAAAAAATTTTTGGTGACTTTACTATACAGCTCAAGATAATAATTGTGTAATTGTAAAGATTACAAAATCATGAAATAACTCAGCCATACCTAAACAATTCGTATGTAATTGGACATTCCAACTATAACACTGGAAACGTTGTAATTTTTTCCTATAGGGATTCATCCGAATATATTCACACCAACGTTATTTGTATATCTTTATTGGAAATATAATCCTTATGTTGCTTATTAATCGCTATGTGTATAGGCCTATAAAAATAAGTAGTAGATGTAGGCTATTAAATTATTTCGTAAAATGCGTTAGGTTAGTAGAACTAACTAGATTCTGTAAAGACCCTCTGAGTGCTTCTTTTATAAAAGGATATTATAACATATTTTACAAGATTAGTGGCATCCATGGGGCACAACCGGCCCACCGAGGCAATAGCCTGAATTTCCATAGGGCTCTTCTGACCATGCACCCATCTTGTTAGTCAGCACACTGTGCCCATCTAATGATCACGCTCACCATTTAGAGAATCGGTTTATCAGTTTGTGACTCAAAATGTTTTAAATATGTTTAAAACAATTAAGTTATTTTTTGAAAATAATAATAAAATAATAAAAATAATAACCCTTTACCTTTCTTAATCTTTTCATTTATTTGTGTCAAAGCAGTTGAAAGATTTGTTAATTGTGTCCCTAGATTCACTTCCAACTTGCTTAAACTTTGTTGACTGGCGTTCACATCTTTATTTAAGTTTATTATGTTTTGTCTGTTAGTATTGACGTCTTCTGTAATGTTTTGTATCTTCTGTTTGTTTGATTCCAAGTTTTCTTTCATCTGATTTATATTGTCTTTATTAGTATTTACTTCATCTGTCACGTTTTGTATCTTTTGTTTGTTTGATTTAAAGTTTTCTTTCAACTGATTTATATTGTCTTTATTAGTATTTACTTCATCTGTCATGTTTTGTATCTTCTGTTTGTTTGAGTTCAAGTTTTCTTTCAACTGATTTACATTATCTTTCTTAGTATTTACTTCATCTGTGATGCTTTGTAGACTTTGTTTGTTGGTTCTTAAGTCATCTTTTAGACTGTTTACTATTTGTCCGAAAGTATTCAATCCATCATTATGGCTTGCGATGCTTTGTTTGTTAGTATCTAGATCATTTGAAAAGCTATGAATACTTTCTTTACAAATAATTAAATCACTTTGTACATTGTTCACCATTTGTCTGAGGGTATTCGATTCATCATCATAGCTTGCAATACTTTGTCTAGTAGCATTCAAATCATCTGTAATGCTTTTAATATTGTGCCTGCTAGTTTCAAGGTCGTTTTTAATGGTGTAAATATTTTGTCTGTTAGTGTCTAATCCATCTTTTATGCTTAGAATAGTTTGTTGTTTACTATTGATATCTTCTTTAATGTGATATATATTCTGTTTATTTAGTAGTATGTTTTCCTTCTCTTTGTCAACCTGTCTCAATAGTTTCGGTATTACCTTGATTAAATCATCAAATGTTGGATTGGAAACAATGATTGCTAACATCATATTCAACCTTTCAGATCTTCCATCAGGTCCCATGACATGAGCTCCACAAAAATATTTTCCAGACTCTGAGGATTTTATATAGCTCCAAGAAACTTCAATAAATGATGCTTTTGATTTGGTGTCAGAAAGTTCCCCTTTAGCCTTGTTAAAATTAATGTCTTGTTTGGTTGTGACAAAGGGCTGATCTTTATTTATGGTAGCAATGACACTATAAGACTCTGTAAATCAATGATATTTCAAAATGTTATAATGTTAAAATTTACATAAACATAAGAATTATCTTTAAAATATTTATTATACAAGGCTTGTCTTCGAGTCCGAAGATTAGTTAGGAATGCAGTATTTTCCAACGAATCTCATTTTTTTCTGCCTCGGTAAAAAAAAAGTCTATTTTTTTTTTGTGAGTTGTTTATTTTTTTAGTTTGTTTGTAGTTAAAGAAGGCCTCGTTGCCGAGTTGTTTTATTGTTTTTGATTGGTCTGACAGGGTTACTTACATGCATGTTTAAGTTTTCAGTTTATTGTGTAAGGGAAATTACAAAGCGTTTATCAATTATTTAATGGATTGTCTGCCTTTTAGAATTTAATATTAATGTAGAATTTATAGATTGGATCCAAACAAATGCACTCATTTAAATGTCCAAATTAAGAAAATTAAATTAAGAAAATCAATGCTTAGGACAAAAAGTCTTTTTTTCAAGTGTGTTACATAAAAGAAACGGGACTTTTCAAACCAGTGAGCCGCAATGGCTGATCAATAAAGTGCTTTGCTCCTACGGGTTCGAATGATGGCGAAATTCGGGCGCGTCTGAGTTTTCCCAACACTAGTGTTGGGGAAAAGTAAAAGGGTTTAGTCGTTGTGCTGGCCACATGACTTCCTCGTAAACCGAAGGCTATAAAAATAGATGATCATTACATTATCTGCCTTGCATACCACATGATCTGAAAAGGGGAACTTTTTACTTTAATGTCAAACCAGAGAAATTTGTTAGAATCAACATATACTTAGCATTGGCGTCTTGTTCAAATTTTTTTCTTTTAAATGATTTATATTGTAGCTATTTTTTTCTCTAGTCAACTTGTGTATTGTAAGATAGAATTTATAATAAATTTATATATAGCTATATGTTACGTTACCGTGAAGAATGTACATAAATTGAACTGTTGAATTAGGCTCCAAATCCTGTGGAAAGAAATTCATCTACAAAAAAAAATATTCTTCACATATTTTATGAAATATTTTTATCAAGAAAATACAGATTCAAGTTGTACATTTATTGAACGAAAAACAAATATCTGTTTACAAAAGTGTATTTACAATACTTATGATTTTATTATTATTATATTTATGAGCAACTCGATACTAACCACTGATAACGTTTACTAATAGAACAATGTATTAAAATCTGAGACATAAAGACATTTTGTTGTACATCTATTTTTGACTGGAACGTAATAAAATGTTTGTGCTTTTAACTTGTAATACATTACATTGTGTAGGCAGAGTGGCTGAAGGATAAAGCGCTTGGCTTCAGAACAGGGTTCGAATCCTGGTAAACATTGAAATTTTTACTTTATCTATAGGGCGCCTTTAAGTCCACCCAGTAATTGGGTCTTGCCCTCATATGCAATTGACATTATTTGGAAAAAAATAAGTAGGTTGGTCGTTGTGCAGGCTACATGACATCCTCGTTAACTGTCGGCTACAGACAGGGGACTATCTTTACATCAACCGCCCCATAAACCACAACGTCTGAAAGGGGAACTTAT